CTTGCTACCCGATCGCAGCTTGAGATTTTCCTCGGAGACGGCCGTGGGTGGAGCTACAAGGCCACCTGACGACCCAGCAGCAGCAGTCGCCTGCAGTTTGGAGCTGCAGAGAGTTGGACTCTCTGCGCGAAATAACTTCATCGAAGTAGCTGGCAGTGGGCTCTCCATTCTGAATCAGTTCAAGCTCATGGGCCAAGTACTCAGGTCAACTGTGGAGGGCCGACCTGGCGAAGCCAGAATTGCTTGTGTTTTGCGGGCCTTAAAATGGGGTCGCCCGACAGCCTCATAACTGTGCAGCTTTGAGATCGTACAAAGACAGGGAAATTGTTGCAGAGGTGACTCTGCATTTCTGAACAGAGCAGATCAAGCCATGCAGAGTTATGGTATCGAGAAGGTCGGCCGGAACAAATCATACAAGAGCGGCGGAATTTTCTGGAAGGTATCTCCACCAGATCTGAACAGGACTTCTTGAGCTGTGCAGAGTTATGAGAGGTGTGGCTGACGGTTCGGAATTTGTGCACGGTGCTTAACTCCAAAACCCTCTCATGCACGATATGGGCTCACCTGGCTCTCGCCAGATTTTTTTTTGCTCTTTTAAGCAGAGACCCATTTGCAAATTTCTTGCCTCTGCCTTACATTTGCTGCCAGACCGGTTGTTGCGTTCCCTTCAAAAGAACAGTTCGAACTGCACTTTTCGCTGTCGGAGGTTGCACCTCTACTTCAATTAGCCTTTTTGCTCTTTGAGTCAGTTCCATCGTGTAATTGGAGTCTGTTTATTGTTTTATGGTTGCGTGTCTCTTTGCGCAGGAGGTGGATTTGGCTGTCACAAACCACAGGCGTTGCTCAGCAATTCCGCATCTCCGCGCAACACAGACCCGTCTCTCCCCCTCCCACACACAGGCTCGTGGTGGTTTCTGAATTTCTGGAAACATGTGGACGAGCAGGATTCTTTTAGACGCTGTTTGTGTCAACTGGCATTGATTTTTGGTGTTTTTCAGTCTGCCTCAGTGCTTTTTGAGTCAGATTCTGACCACACTCGTTTTGTCTCGTTTCCTTCCGTATGCTGTTAGCTCAAGAAAAAAATCGAGTGCTGCACACTCTGTTTTTTTGGTAGCGGACTTCTAAGAGCTGTCAAGCGCCGCGGCCTTACCCGTACAAGGTTGGAGTTGAAGGTTCTCCCAGAAGGTACTTGTGCCTAAGAAAGACATGGACTTTGACTTGTTTAGACCAGATCCTGCTTGTCCTATGAGTCCGCCTGCAGCTCAAAGGTGGAAGTGTTCTTGCTGCTGTGTCTGGAACGCAGTGCCGCCGACGTCCACTTTGGGTGCGGACCAACTGCAGCACACGCGGCTCCAAATGTGGAGTCGAACAATCCAAGCAATTTTGGCTTCGCTTGAGTGGCCCCTCTCTGTTCTCTCATGTCATCACTTCCACCGGCAAGCTGTCTGTTGGAAATTCTTGTTCTTGGAGAATGATTTTTCCACACTGGATGCCTGCCTGTGGGCGGGTCGCCTTGATGTAGCAGTTTGGAACGTACGGGCTTGGGTTTGGGCCCCAGAATAGGAATTCGTGACCCCAAAATAGGGGCCGCCAAGCGGCCCCGATTTTGGGTCCTCTAGTTGCCCGTCAAAATGTGTTAAAGGAGGTTGGCTGCATTTCGCGGCTCCTTTTCTGGGGCCGCGAGACGGCCCCAGTTTTGGGGTCGCAAGTTTGATTCCTGCACCCACAGCGGCTGAATCTCGTCAGCTGCGCATGTCATTGATTGTATTGACTTTGGGGAGCGTCTGGTGGAGGACCGTTTGGAAGGTCGGAACTTGTCCAAAGCAGCTTTGTGCTCGCCCTTAAAAGTGCTGCAGCCAGCGGAATGCAACTGTGGAGGGCCGACCTGGCGAAGCCAGAATTGCTTGTGTTTTGCGGGCCTTAAAATGGGGTCGCCCGACAGCCTCATAACTGTGCAGCTTTGAGATCGTACAAAGACAGGGAAATTGTTGCAGAGGTGACTCTGCATTTCTGAACAGAGCAGATCAAGCCATGCAGAGTTATGGTATCGAGAAGGTCGGCCGGAACAGATCATACAAGAGCGGCGGAATTTTCTGGAAGGTATCTCCACCAGATCTGAACAGGACTTCTTGAGCTGTGCAGAGTTATGGTATCGAGAGGTGTGGCTGACGGTTCGGAATTTGTGCACGGTGCTTAACTCCAAAACCCCCTCATGCACGACATGGGCTCACCTGGCTCTCGCCAGATTTTTTTTGCTCTTTTAGCAGAGACCCATTTGCAAATTTCTTGCCTCTGCCTTGCATTTGCTGCCAGACCGGTTGTTGCGTTCCCTCAAAAAGAACAGTTCGAACTGCACTTTTCGCTGTCGGAGGTTGCACCTCTACTTCAATTTGCCTTTTGCTCTTTGAGTCAGTTCCATCGTGTAATTGGAGTCTTTTATTGCTTTATGGTTGCGTGTCTCTTTGCGCAGGAGGTGGATTTGGCTGTCACAAACCACAGGCGTTGCTCAGCAATTCCGCATCTCCGCGCAACACAGACCCGTCTCTCCCCCTCCCACACACAGGCTCGTGGTGGTTTCTGAATTTCTGGAAACATGTGGACGAGCAGGATTCTTTTAGACGCTGTTTGTGTCAACTGGCATTTGATTTTTGGTGTTTTTCAGTCTGCCTCAGTGCTTTTTGAGTCAGATTCTGACCACACTCGTTTTGTCTCGTTTCCTTCCGTATGCTGTTAGCTCAAGAAAAAAATCGAGTGCTGCACACTCTGTTTTTTTGGTAGCGGACTTCTAAGAGCTGTCAAGCGCCGCGGCCTTACCCGTACAAGGTTGGAGTTGAAGGTTCTCCCAGAAGGTACTTGTGCCTAAGAAAGACATGGACTTTGACTTGTTTAGACCAGATCCTGCTTGTCCTATGAGTCCGCCTGCAGCTCAAAGGTGGAAGTGTTCTTGCTGCTGTGTCTGGAACGCAGTGCCGCCGACGTCCACTTTGGGTGCGGACCAACTGCAGCACACGCGGCTCCAAATGTGGAGTCGAACAATCCAAGCAATTTTGGCTTCGCTTGAGTGGCCCCCCTCTGAACCACCCTAAAACTATGGTTTCGCAGCGTTGGAGCAGGCCGTCTTCGCAGCGATGACTTGCAGGTCTCACGCACTATGTGCAATATCATCGCCCAGCCTCCGAGCATGAAAGGTTGAGGGCAGAGGTGACACACACGGCCTCTGTCTCGATGGTCTGCCTGAGCCAGGCTTCCAGAAGACGACCACTGAGTGAGCAATCCAGGAGTTGCCCAACTGCGTGCGTAGAAAACATTGGCTCGAACTTGGTCAAGGACACCGCCAAACGGCGAGAGTGTAGTTACACCTCTGTGCATCTTTAGAGCTCCAGAGAGGATACCATTGGACCCAGGCTCGCGGAGAGTGTGGCCTCTGCGTGGTCCAGCGGCCGCTGGGTATGACAAGCGCAGACGGACCACCCTTCAACGCGTTGTCAGTGCTAGCGCGGACGTCAGGAAGATCCTCGGTTTGCAGACGAGCTCTAGTGGGTTGCTTTCGCGTTTTCCAAATACGGACTGGCTGGATGACCTGCGCGCATTGATCCAAGCTTTGGATACGGATTCCATCCGCCACCTGACGGGACTCACTAGTTTCGCTGCGGCCACTGTTGTCCCATCAACGGAAACGGGTCCAAAGGGCCATGGCTGACTGTGATACACTCCTGTCGTTGCCAATGCCCTTGACTGCGGGCTCGCTTCGTCAACGTTCATCAGTTCGGGTTTGCCATCTGCAGTTTTGCAGATAGAGCCATGCGGCTGGGATGCTGCTCTGAGGAAGAGGCATGGCGACTCTGCGTCAATCCGTTGATTGCCATCAGTGCCGCCCTCGCCGAGTTGTGCGAGCCCCTGCAACATCTAGCCGAGGACAAGGCGCATGACTTGTGCTGGTGTGAGCTCGCACGGCCGCAGGTTTGGTGGTGGCTGCTGGTCGATGAGATTGTCGCTCAGTGGCAGCATGCGGATCAGGCTACGTTGGATACCACCATGGCGTGAGATGGCAGTTTCATTGTTATGGCCTTGGGCGGCCCTGGCAGGCGCATCTCCTCACTTCAATATTGCAGTGCTTTGCTACCCATTCAGGTGCTGCTGTTTGTGATCCGTCGTCTTGTCGATCAACCACAGTCCTGCCCACATCTGGAGGTAGTCGAGGTTTTTCGTGACAACGACCAGCATGCCGCTGATGAGGGCCGTCGGGGTCAGCTTGGGGTACGTCTCGCAGCGACCTTTGCGGCGAGTGACATCTGTCCGATGCAATGGAAGATAGGGGCCCTGATACGGCATAGGTGGGAGAGAGGCGTTGTTGCGCTCCATCATCCCTACGTGAATCCGGACATTTTCACACATCCGGCGGTCTACCAGCTTTCGCATCTACATCCCGCTGTCGGAAGAGGCCCTGGGTCTGCGACCGGCGGCTGAGCTTCCCAGACCCCCGGGTGGATCTATAAATTAGATCCACCACTCATCTCGGAAAATAGAAACGATGTGGTCAAGCGACTCTAAAAATTAGAGACGATGGGCAATCGTTGTACGGAAAATCTTGACATCATTTGAGCATTATACAAAGCTTGAGCCGTTTGAGCCAGCATATATAGTATATTGCATCATGAGCATTAAAAAAGCTTGAGCCGTTTGAACCAGAATATATCGTATATTGCATCATGAGCATTGTACAAAGCTTGAGCCGTTTGAGCCAGATAAACCAGCAGCCCCAAACCCGATAAAAACTGAATTAAGCGTTTTGGGTTGAAGAGTTTGAAGGCTTTGGCTTCGGGTTCGAAGTTTACGAGAAGGAGAGCCAGGGAGAGGGAGAAAGAGAGAGAGTTTGCGAAGGTTTGGGCTTCGGGGTTCGCGGTTGAGGAGTTTTGGGGTTTTGAGGTGCTGGTTTACGGTTTTTAGTGGTTCTGGGCTCCGGGGTTTTGCTTCGGACTGCGAGACGGCTTTTTTTTGCACTAGCCCTCTGCAGCATGATTTTCCAGTTTCTTTTGCTGAAGAAAGTTGCATTTCCAGTGAATCACATTCGACCAAGTGCTGCGATGAGCAGAACGAGCAATCTTGGCTATGACCCCATTCAAGCTTTCGTCACGATAGGTGGAGTACAATCGCGGATTCCCTCGGTGAAGAGCCCGCTGAATCATGTGCACAAGAAGATGACATTTCGGCCTCCATACACCGCCCGCTTTCAAGTAAAGCGTTGAAAAGCGTAGGTACAGCTGCAGCAGGGCCTGGCAATGTTGTCGAGTGAACTGTCGGAATTCCAACTCCAGCAGCTCGTCCATGGCATGGGCAGCTTCTGCACAAGCCGTCAAGAGTGCGAACTTGCGAGCCAGCTCATCCGGCTGCTTGGCGAATTCATCGGCGTACTTGTGCAGCAGCCAGAGGACGAATCTAAGAAGACCGTGCGACTCAGCTGCTTTTGCCGACAAGTTGTAGGTATCCTCATTTCCAATCATGCCCAGTCAAGTTCCAGACCTCGGATCCCTTCTCTCGCCACCTTTGGTCGGTAGATAAGCTTCTATATTCACACTGCGGGGTGAAAACACACCCGAAGCAATGAAACTATGCCTATGCATAGCCAGGCTTATGAACTGCTGCATGGGTCCGAGGTGCCAGGCGTGCATAATATCAATTGACCAACTATCCTGTGTAACCCCCTCGAGCGAAAACAGAGGGCACATGTGGGTCAGCCTTGCATCTCTCGGCGCAATCCGAAAAATCACCCTCAGAGGAAGCTCTCTTGGTATTCCAGCTGGCTGACATCTGGAAGCCGGCGGCTGGGCTCGAGTCTCCAGTTCTTGCGGAGGCCGTAGCGGGGCAAGTCTGCAGTGAGATGTCGTCCACGATCTAGTCGGCTGTATTCAAGATTTCTGGCAATCGTTCGCAGCATCTCCGCCGTATCCACAAGAATTTCCTTTCAGGTGGGCTCGATCCGGTTTCGACATACGAGAAGAAAATCAACCCAAAAACATGAAGCTACTGCTCAAAGCTGGGCTTTCAGGGATTAGGCTTTAACGGTTTGGGTTTACCTTACATATGGGTGCTTGTGAGAATTGGCGACCCAAATAGAGTACCCTAAATAATAGGATCCTTGTGATAAAGACCCCAGAATAAGGTGCCCCTATCTTCGGAAATTAACCCCCGTATTGGAAGCTTATTCACCCTGGTGAACATGCCGATGTCGTTGTTGTAGTCTTCCGACGAGTACACCAAGTGGCCCACATTGTCCAGGGTAATGCTGTGCACATTGTCGGCAGTCATGTCATCTTGCGAAATACGGCAAAGGGCACACGGGTGGCTGTTGTGATTCCAGAATCTGCCCTCTGTGATTTCCAAATAAGTCGGCCAATCGCACTGGATGTCAAGCACACAATACTTCAGCGATGTTTGCAGCTTCTCCAGATCTTGCACCCAGGCATCCAGCAGCGAGAAGATGGTGCACCAGCCGCGACAGCCACAGCGGCACATGTCTTCAGAACCTCCGGCGCAGGCCGGGCTTGAGTGCATTAGTTTCGGTGCCTTACTCTATTCAGAAGCTCCGGCGAATGCCGGGCTTGATTGTAGTAGTTTCGGGGCTTTATCATAAGGATCCCTCTATTTGGGTCCCCCATTTTCAGAATCACCCATATGTAAGGCAAGCCCAAACTCCATGGTAAGGTTTACAATCTACAAGGATTTCATATGCGACTCAACCATCAAAGAACCAAACAATGGATGTGCTTGTTTAGCGGAGGGGCGAAGCAGAAAGGAAACGAACTTCTGCTCGGATAAGATATCAGTCACGTAGAAGCCAGTGAAAGAATCGTGCACCGAGTAGCGGACCCCATCCCAGTAAAGAGCGATGGCCGGACAAGTTCCGTGTTTCCAGCAGCTCGGGCCCTTTGAACAACAGGGTGATTGTCGTAGCAGGGCAAATTCTGAAGCATCTTTCGGAAGTTGATTTTGCTTTGTGCCGAGGGTACCTCCACGAACTTTCTAAAAAGTGTCGAAGGAAGCATGATGGGCACTTTTTCTGCCACTCGTCGAGACTGCCGTTTCTCGAACAAAGACACAGTCACGTAGTCAAGATCCGGTTCAGGATATTCTTTTCCAGCATGTAATTTGATGTGCTCAAACCTGTGACGAGCAGCTTGCTTGGAATTTGGGGTCCAAGTAGCCACACCAGTACCTCCACGTGTCACATGGTGACACTGCCACATCCGATCCAGGTAAGGATCCTGTGCAACACCTATCAAGCAAGAACATTCGTAGCTGCTGGCCTGCAAGCACCTAGTCCGGCGTCGGCTCTGAACTCTCATCTTCCTGTTGTACTTGGGCAAAAGCACGTTTCCGCATTCCGGGTGTATGGACCTATTTCAACTGCAATTGTGACTACATGCTTGGCTTCACATTCTCTGCTTCTATACCTTAAGACTTGGAAGGTCTGCCCACACCAACAGAAACATGCAAAGCTGGACGTTCTTTTGCATCCGGACCATTCTCCGACATGAACAAGCATTTTAGATCTTGGAATGAAGGTTTGCACTGTTTGTTCATGCAACATGAGGCTCACGTCTTAGCTGCACCAGCTGCAGACACACAAACGCAAACATGAACAACTCTGCAGGCGGCCTTGAAGATGCAGGTCACGCCCACGGACGGGACGACTTCGGCGAGTTCGTAAGCGAGCTGAAGCTTGCTGTGTTTTCGGAGACCGGTGCCAGCAGCACCAAGACCTTGAAGAAGAACTACAAGGATCGCTACCTCCCGCTGCTCACCATGTTCAAAGATCGATGCCAAGATGCTGCCCGTGACTTGGCTAGATTCATGTTTTTGCTTTTTTGATTGAACGTTTGTGCATGGTGACCTCGGACCTCGTCTGAAACGTGCTGGAGTGCTTGAGGCTATAAGTGTACTTGGTTTAGGGTCCTGAAACGGATCGGGATCTTAAGGGTTATGAATGTCTTAAGGGCTAGGGCTTTTGAAAGTATGGCCTGCGTGGATGCCATAGCCCCAGCCCTGTCGTTCTTTTGCTCGGAACCACGATCCTGGAAGGTTCAAGGGCTTAAGGATTATGAGGTCTTAAGGGCTTGGGGTTTTAAGAGCTTCGTGGTGTTAAGGATTAATTATGGGGCCTTAGGGGTTTGTGGTTTCAAGGGTTTCGGGGTCTTAAGGAATATGAAATGAAAAGGGTTGTGAAGGTCTTAGGGGCTATGGCTTTTGAAAGTATGGCCTGCGTGGATGCCATAGCCCCAGTCGTGTCGTTCTTCTGATCGGAACCACTATCCTGAAAGGGATCGGGGTCTTAAGGGTTATGAATGTCTTAAGAGCTATAGGGCTTTTGAAAGTATGGCCTGCGTGGATCCACCAGCCCCAGCCGTGTCGTTCTTCTGCTTGGAACCACCATCCTGAAAGGGATCGGGGTTATGAATGTCTTAAGGGATACGGCTTTTGAAAGTCCAGGCCTGCATGGATGCACCAGCCCCAGCCGTGTCGTTCTTCTGCTCGGAACCACGATCCTGGAAGGTGAAGGGCTTAAGGATGATGAGGTCTTAAGGGCTTGGGGTTTTAAGGGCTTCGTGGTCTTAAGGATTATGGGGCCTTAGGGGTTTGGGGTTTCAAGGGTTTGGGGGTCTTAAGGAATATGAAATCAAAAGGGTTATGAAGGTCTTAAGGGCTAGGGCTTTTGAAAGTATGGCCTGCGTGGATGCACCAGCCCCAGCCGTGTCGGTCTTCGGATCGCAACCACCATCCTGAAAGGGATCTGGGTCTTAAGGGTTATAAATGCTAGGGCTTTTGAAAGTATGGCCTGCGTGGATGCCATAGCCCCAGCCGTGTCGTTCTTCTGATCGGAACCACGATTCTGGAAGGTTCAAGGGCTTAAGGATTAAGAGGTCTTAAGGGCTTGGGGTTTTAAGGGCTTCGTGGTCTTAAGGATGATGGGGCTTTAGGGGTTTGGGGTTTCAAGGGTTTGGGGGTCTTAAGGAATATGAAATCAAAAGGGTTATGAAGGTCTTAAGGGCTAGGGCTTTTGAAAGTATGGCCTGCGTGGATGCCATAGCCCCAGCCGTGTCGTTCTTCTGATCGGAACCACGATCCTGGAAGGTTCAAGGGCTTAAGGATTATGAGGTCTGAAGGCCTTGGGGTTTTAAGGGCTTCGTGGTCTTAAGGATTATGGGGCTTTAGGGGTTTGGGGTTTCAAGGGTTTGGGGGTCTTAAGGAATATGAAATCAAAAGGGTTATGAAGGTCTTAAGGGCTAGGGCTTTTGAAAGTATGGCCTGCGTGGATGCCATAGCCCCAGCCGTGTCGTTCTTCTGATCGGAACCCTAAACCTGAAGCCTTTAAACTTTTGCAACACCATTCGGGCAAGTGCTAAACCCTAAAATCGCGAAGCGAAGCCACAAAGAATAAAATGAAACCTAAACCCCGACTTGTGTAAAAAGTTTTGAAAACCTCTGCAAACCTAACCCCATAAGTAACCTTAAACCCTATTGTTGCAAGTGCTAAACCCTAAAATCGCCAATCGAAGCCACAAAGAATAAAATGAAACCCAAACCCCGACTTGCATAAAAAAATCTTGAAAACCTTTAAACCTATTAGTTATATTAATTAACCTTACACCCTATCGCTACAAGTGCTAAACCCTAAAACTGCTGACCCAAACCAGCGACGGAAAAATGCAACCTAAACCCAGGCCAGCCTCTGGCACCGGCCCCATCTTCTGCTGCTCAGCAGCAGAAGAAAAGTCTTCGGAGAAAAAGGGTGCCCAAATGGTGGGCCCACACAAAAGAGCTTGAGACATAACGGGCGATTTCGGGCAGATTCGGGCAGATTCGGGCTGATTCGGGCTGATTCCGGCCGGTTCGGGCTCTTTCAAGCTTTTAGGACAAGTTGACCGGGGCCCCAAAATTGCCCCGACAAGGCTCATCGCACCCTCATCGCTGACCTGGGGCTTGCCTGAACCCTAGCATCATGCTTGATTCATACACGAAGATCTATACAGTAATATATGACTCCATGATACCCCCACAAGCTCATCGAAGGCTCATCGCGGGCCCGGCCGACCCCCCCTCATCGCACCCGGTTGGCTGGGATTGAGGCTTCCGGGGAAAGTGGGGTGCATCCTCCATCTATACAAGAGTACAAGGCCAAGCCTCATCGGGGGCTCTGGGGGGCTCATCGCAGGCTCATCGCTACTTTTGGGGGCATTTTGGTCTCTTTTGCTTGTTTTTGGGTGTTTTCAGCAAATTTAGCTAGAATTGTTGCTTTTGTGGTTTGCAGGGTTGTTTTGGTAGTGTTTTCTACAGATATATGGTCATAATGGTTGTGGTGGTATACAGTGGTGGTGGTAGTCGTGCCAGTGGTAGTGGTAGAGTGGTGTAGAGCCGCCACGGCTCAGACGTTTTGGAAGTTTCGCGCTGGCTTTCGAACAGGCTCTGGATTCCAACCTTGCGTTGCTAGAGGTCTCAAACAGGCCCCTCTTTGAACGACTAAGGGTTGGTTCCTCACGCTGAGCCATGTGCCATGTGCCAACAGTTTGCGTCTGAGCCGCCAGGTCCCAATTCCTGGACCCAGTACCCTGTCTTAACACGGGCCCACTGGGCAGGCGGTAGGGTTTCCACTAACCGCGTGGTGGAGGGAGTCACTCGGCTTGCCTTGTGACGAAATAGCGGATGGCGCTGCTCCCAGTGCACTCACAAAATTATTCTCAGATCAGGAAGAATTCGTTCAAGCATGTTTGCAGAAAGGTGGTTGCTAGCCAGCAACCCGTTTCCTACCGAGGTCAGGTCATGACCCCTGCTCTTCTCAGGCGCATGGGCAACTGCCCACCGCGGCCAGGTTCCACTCAGTCTTTCGTACCACGGTCTAGAGCAGGACAGGCCACCAGGCCCCTCCGCGTACTGTCCTGGAATGCAGGCCACCTTGGCCAGCAGCAATGGTCAGAGGTCAAATCATGGCTTTCCACTGAGGCACGTCACACCTGTGATGTTCTTGTGCTGCAGGAGACCCACTGGCAGGCTACGGCTGAATTTAGTGTTGCAGGCTGGTACTGCATCTCGTCTGCCTCTGCTGCAGATCCGAAAGCCTCAAGACGCAAACAACGCGGGGGCAAGGCCCACATACAGCCACCTGCAGAGGCAATGCCTAATGACGACAAGACCCATCCGCCCCGCAAGGAACCCTCGACAACCCGCGCGGACGGAGTAATGGTCTTTCTGTCCCCACACATACAACCTAAAGGTGTGAGATGGCAGGAACATGTCATAGGCAGAACCCTGGAAGTCAGGTTTGACTGGCACGGGGCCCGCATCCACCTGATTGCTGTATACCAACATGTTTGGTCACCGGCCAAACAGGTGCAGAACAATCGTCAGGACAGGGCACAGGTCCTAAAAGCTCTTGGCAGATGTGTGCAAAGGGTGCCACACCGGGACACGCTTATCATCGCAGGCGATTTCAATAGCTCCTTGCAAAAGCAGCCTAGGCTGGTAGGTCCAGAGCTCATAAGCCCACAGGAACCGCGACCTGACGAACCAGAGCTCACCAACTTCCTGTTGAGTCATCGCTTGGTGGCCCTCAACACGTGGCGACCTCAGCCATTATTTACGTACCAGCAGGGGGATACACGCACACAAATTGATTTTGTGCTTACGCGAGAGGCGTCAGCCGGAGGCACTGCCAAGGCCTCCACGCCACTGGCGGATTTTCCGCTGGGCGGCTGGAAGAAAAGCGGGCATCTGCCCATCAGTGCGACTGTCAAGCCAGTACGTCACTGGAATCTGCCGCCTCCTCAGATACAGACACATCAGTTTGACGCTACTGCCCTGCAAGCGGCTGTGAGGGACAACACGCTGCCGGCTCAGCAAATGCTTGAGTGGGTCACAACCCGTCTCACTCCGGACATGCAGCCGGCGTCATGGGATCGCCTTCTTGGCGAAGCCTCCTCCAGGTTTTTCCCTAAGACCCCGGTGGCAATGCCAGAAAGTCCGGAGACGCGCATTGCTAGAAGAATGTGGCGCTCTGCACGAGGGAGCAATGCTCACACCAGTGCTGAATCAGCTACAGAAGCAGCTGCCCGTCAACTGCTACACGACCAGCACAAACTGGCGGTCAAGCAGTCTCGCAAAGACCAAACCAAGCGGTTCCTTGCCGAGGTGGACCAGGCTCTCAACCAGGGAGACCAACACCTAGCATACCAAACTCTCAAGCATCTTCGCCCGTGGAAACCAGCTCTGAAGGCTCAGCTCAAGGATTCGAACGGTTTCTTGCTCAGCCCCGAAAACGAACTTGCAGAGTTGGGCAAGTACGCCACCAAGGTCTTTGCAGCGCACCCACCGCTTCCTTCTGACGCGGGACTTCTGCCCCTACTGCCGCAGACCAAGTTGGCGAAACACATTGCTTCGATAAAACCTGGAAAGGCAGTTCCTAAAGGAGCAGCACCGGCCGCAGCCTGGAAGCTCTGCGCACAGCCGGTATCCGAAGCGCTCTCACATTACTGTTCTGCTCTGACACAGGACCAGCCACTAGACGATGATCTGACACGAGCGGATCTCTGCTTAATCCCCAAACCGGGCAAGCCGGCTGACAAGCCTTCCCAGCTAAGACCGCTGGGAATACTCCGGCCGGATGCTAAAGGCCTGGCGGGAACGGCTAAGGAGCTCCTGGAACCTCTCACGCTGCCATACATGAAGCCTCTCCCTCAGTTTGCATACCTACCAGGGCGGGGTCTCTCTGACGCTCAGAGTAGAGTGGTACAGCACCTGAGAGAGGCTCGGCAACTCTGTCGCAATGCGAACCTCACCAGAGCGGATCAGCAGCGGGGACAATGTCCTGTTGGTCTAGTCGGCGGCATCACCTTTGCACTAGACCTGTCCCAGGCATTCGACACTGTATCCCGCAGCGAAATCTTGTCTCTGCTTGATGAACTCGGCGCAGATCCCTCCCTACAAAAACTGATACACGGCCTGCATCATCGATCCAAGTACAGGCTCCATTCACAAGGGGCGCACCAGGATGTGGAAACCACCACAGGCATCAAACAAGGCTGCAAGCTGGCCCCTACGTTGTTTTCCGTTCTTGATAGGCACATTTGGCTGGGACAATGTCCGCAGATACTTCACTGGGTACGCCGATGACTTTACCATGCATCGCACAATTCGTAACAAAGCGGACGTGGACGCAGCTCACAAAATGATCCTACAGCTTTTGTTGGAGGTAGAGAAACTAGGCCTGCGCGTCAATCCAACCAAATGTGCTATTCTAGTCAAACTCAGTGGCGGAGAGGCCGAGGCCACGCTCCAGAAGCACACCTGTTGGCTTCCCGACCAAGACGGAAAACTCCAGCGTCACTGGCGACTGGGCAGACACAAGTCCTTCCCCGCCTACAAACTTGAAACACAAATCAAGTACCTGGGCATTCAAATCTCCTATGGGAACTTTGAAATGCAAACGCTGCGCTTCCGTATAGCGGAAGCTGCCAAAAAGCTCCAGCAGGTCAAGCGATTTGTTTACAACCGCAGAACTGCAGGGCCAATGGCCAGGTTGAAGGTTTGGTTCACCACCGTATGGGCCACTCTGGTCACAGGACTTCCTGAAGTCGGCCTCACGGAGGAAACAGCCAGGCATCTCCGAGGTTGGTATGCACACAAGCTACGTTCCGTGCTTAACCAGCCTGTCCATGTCAGCCGCATCTCCACAGCTGACCTATATCAGCTGCATTCGATTCAGGACCCGGTGGCAAAAATCCGAGCTCGGATGGCTTCGCGACTAAAAAGACTGAGCAAAAGACCCGACATCCCTACCCCCGAGGCTGACACTTTCGTCCAGCGGATGACTACTTCCAGTGCACCTACGGTGCAGCTGGGCCCGTGGGCCAGACTGCATCCTGACGCGCCGGCCTCGGCCACAGGCTCGGACCCTACCGACATGGCAGCGTACGGTGATGTCACGTGTCTGGGACATGTCCTACAGGACCTACAGGACATACTACGCGAGGTGGACAATCTTCCGGCGAGCACCGAGGCCTCGCAGCAGCGGTTGCACGACTGTCCTCACTGTGCGTCTGGCTTCGTCTCTGCGCATGGTCTACATATGCACATCACAAGGATGCATCGTGATCAAGTAAAGAGGTACATTCCTCCTACCTTTGATCGTAGTCGGCACTCCAAGGACGGTCTACCAGTATGTTCCGCATGCGACAAGGCCTTCCATCAATGGAAGGGCCTACGCGACCACTTGTTGTCGGGAGCCTGTACGCAACCGGAACGCCTACGCCAGCTATCTCTCACCACCGAGGAACAGCTGCAAGGCCAAGCTCTCAGAGGCTTAGCCGCCCTTCGGGCTACGGTGCAGAGTTCGCCAAAAGACAAGCTCAGCAGCATAGCCTCCCGACCTGAAGCTCAAGAACTCAAGCACAGGTGCATCTTGTGCGGATTCTGGACCCCCGACCATACCAAGATGAAAAATCATCAACGACAGGCTCATGCACAGGTCTGGCAGCGAGATGGTCCGGCGGCACTCAAGCTTTGCCAGGCCTACACAGTGCAGATGATCAAAGGACACCCATGTCCCTTTTGCAAACTGCAGGTCTACGACAAACGCAAGCACCCAGAACAGTGCATAGTTCTGTTCCAGGTCCTGCTCGGATGGCACAAGGTCCAGGGTAAGGACAAAACGCGGGAACAATGTTCCAAGCCTCAACCAAAGACCGCGGTGACAATGTCCCTCAGTGGCTTCTTCGGGACGGCGGACCGATCTGCTACTCCCGCTGCCTCCGCCACGGTCCCCACGGCGACGGCGAGCACCGCCGAGGGACATCTCCCACCAGGCCTGTACTCACGCATGCGGCGCATGATGAACTCAGGCAATACCTGCTATGTCAATGCGACCATACAAGCCCTTCTAGCCGCGCTTGACTCTGCGTCCAACATAGCAGAACTGGGACCACTGGTCGAACATTGCATTAGCCCAGAGGCGGATCCAATGGACACTAGGCTTATCAACCCCCCAAGCCTTTTTGCCCTCCGGTCGTTAGTGCCTAGATGGCGCTTTGATGGCAGACAACACGACACCTCTGAATTTGTCACGAGTCTGCTAGAACATCACACCGGAACCCTACAACCCGTGCGTTGGGAGGGACGCACTAATGGACTGCCAGAAAGCGAAGACGATGGCCTTACGCCGCTGCTGCTACCTCTTTCCTCGGACTGTCGTTCACTGCAGCAGGCCTGCATGGCATGGTACAACCACATGTTCCAACGCGCCCTGGCATGGGCCCCAGACATCCTTCCCGTCACAGTTGCTCGATGGATGGACGGCACCAAACGACGCACCCCGATAGACCTGCGCAGGCAAGTCTCACTGCCGACTTGGACGGAGGGTCAGGACCGCCAGTGGCATCACTTTTCAGTCATTTCGGGGGTTTTTCATGTAGGAGCGGAAATCCACTCCGGCCATTACCGGTCTTTCTGGATCCATCCGCATGGAGGTGCGCTATACGTTGGTGATGATGCCACCAGCCCACACCTCGCCTCGACCTCAGAACGCAAACATGTTTTGGAAGATGGTCAGCGTCAACGAAGTTGATATACCTTTCTTTGGGTGGGGCAGCGAGGTAACGAGCGGTTTTCCATTTGTCCAAGCTTTGGTTGCTGACATTCCAAACCAACAACAACAGTTCAGAATCTTTTGTATGAAATCGTCATGGAATTTACATGATGACTTTTGTACCTTTTTATGGAACAACGTCCGTTCCTTCATGTCGACATGATTTCACTTGTAAACTTGTACATGCTTTGAAGAGTGCCCGCACACCGCTTTCACATCAAGCTCGGGCAATCGCATTGTGAACTTTTTCTTCGGAGGCCCTAACAGGCTTCCGAACCGGGGCCCCCTCCGACGTTGTAGCTTGTGCGCTGCATGAGTTCCGAGTCCCTGGACAGCTCCGCTTGTCTGCTGAGCTTGCGAGTGCGCCGCCCACCTTGTTGGGCGTCTTGAGCGAGGCCCAGATTTGCACCTGCCTGGGAAGCTTCCTGGACAGCGACAGCCTGTGGGCCGTCGAGGCCGCCCACTTCTGGGCCTGCTCTGACCTGCGCTGGTACTTCAAGGGACAGTCGGGGCCACCTTCGGAGGCTCCTACTCCTAGGCCTGCTGGCTAGATGTGGCCCGATGACGAGCCAGTCTTTCCGAACTCCCCTGGATCTGCGGGGGATGATACGGCAGGTTCGTTCGGCTTAGCTGAGGAATCCGATGGCTCATGGGCTAATCCGTCTTCTGATCCGGCTGCGGCCGTTACTTCTATATCTGCTCCGATGACTCATTCCCAGCCTTCGTCGTCATCGGGGGTTCGATCGGAATTGCAGATGGGTCATGGTCAGAGAATGTCTTATGAGAATTTCTTGGCATCGGCCATAAGCAGGAGCATCTCCGAGTCTGCTCCGAAGTTTCCGTGGGAGCAGGGCATTTGGGCTGCTCTGCCGTCTCATTTGAAGCCAACACTCAAGCATCACTCTGTGGGAGTCGGAGATCTTTTTGTTCCTTCTGCTCAGCCGGCTGTGATGGCTCCGACTTCCATGCCTAAGCACTCGTATCCAGACTTCGTCAGGAAGAGGCTTCGTCTTAGCAATCTACATCGTGATGAGTCTGAGGTCCGTGCCTTGCAGCTGAGAAAGCTTCGTACCATTGTCCTTCAGGACCCTTCTTCATCAGAATTGGGTTGTGCCTTGGTCAACGCGGCCGGGGCCCTTCAGGACGAGGAAGTGGTGGCCCGCAGCTTCCGCGATGCATTTGTTTCGAAGAGCACCGGCACACTTTTAAAGCGAGTTTCTTCTTTGTGGAGCTGCTGCTGCTTCCTCAACGACAAAGGGGTTCCTCCTTTGGATTTCCAGGAGGAGATTCTTTATGAGTACCTGAGCCTTCTTAGGGAGCAGAAACGGGGAGCTACGGCCGCCTCGTCGGTGCTCTCTGCCATTAGGTTCATTCATGGGGTTGTTAAGATCAAGGGTCTACCGAAGGAGATCGAGTTCTCATCGCGGTGCGAAGGTCTGGCTCGTGGGGAGATGGCTCGGAAGAGGCCCACCAAACAATCCGAGGTCCTCACGGCTGACCAGGTGTGGGCCCTCGAGAAGCATGTGGTTGATTCTGCCCCCAGCCTGGATTCTTTGATAGGGGGCCAGGTTCTTTTCGCCCTCTACTCGTGTGCTAGGTGGGATGATTCTCTCCATCTGGCTGATATCTCTCTTTCGAGTGCTGGTCGCATCTACTTGGTAGAAACTGCAACTTCAAAACACAAGACTTCGCATGCTGCACGTGACAGGTCGATTTTGCTCCCCTTGATATGTTTAGGGAGGGGCCTCTACCATAAGCCGTGGGCGGATGCTTGGTTAGCTTCGCGCCGTCACTTCGGCCTCGACTCGACGGGCCCTGCTTTGCCAACTTACTGCGAGAGGACTGGCAAATTCGGCAAGGCGCCTATGTCTTCCACCGAGGCTACTTTGTGGCTTCGCGACCTCTTGTGCAAGGCGGGATCGTCGCCCAGTGAAGTCGAGGACATCACATCTCATGGTTTGAAGGCCACGCTTCTTTCATGGATAAGCAAACATGGAGGGTGGAGCGAGCGTGATCAAAAGCTGATGGGCCACCATTTCGATAGGGAGTCCAGGTCTGTGCTCATCTACAGCAGAGACAGCTACACTCCGCTCGCCGTCCAGACTCGCCGCTTGTTGGACAAGATCCTCGATGGCTCCTTTTCTCCTGATCGCGGGAGGGCTCGCCGAGTCATGGAGCTTCTAGGTGAGACTTCAGGCGAAGAGGAGGACCCCGACTTAGGTGAGTACGTACCTTCTGAGTCTGGATCCGAGCCGGACTTGAACGACATTGACCCCTCGACAGCTTTTGAGCCGAGTGACCGCGTGAAGGAGATCGCGGTCCCTGAATCGTTGGCTTCGGTTCCTCGACAGCACTTGTATGTCCACAACATCTCTGGGATCATGCACGCAAGTTTTGACCTGCAGAAACTTTTGTGCGGCCGCCCCCTCAATCGTCATTACTCCTGCTTGGAGGATGTGACTTCGCAAGAGGGAGATGTGCAGGCCTGCAAGCACTGTAGCGTAGTTTTCTCGAAGGACTGAGATTCGGTCAGGAGCCTAGTTCGAAAATGTTGTGCAACATTTTGATCTGACCGGCGCGGGCTTGCTCACGGTGCTGCTCGTACTCTTGACGTGTCCGGGCCCATCAATCTTTGATGATACACTGCCCGGCATCGTGTCGTTCCCAGGCAATTGGATTCGCCGGGATCGTGCCATCGGAAGGGGACCTAATTCCCTGGCAAATACAGCGGAGGGGGTTTCACATCGTGGTGAAACCGTGCCCCCTCCTTCGCGCTGCGGGAGCTGTGCCATCGGAGGGGACCGAGTTCCCTGGCAAATACAGCGGAGGGGGTTTCACATCGTGGTGAAACCGTGCCCCCTCCTTCGCGCTGCGGGAGCTGTGCCATCGGAGGGGACCGAGTTCCCTGGCAAATACAGCGGAGGGGGTTTCACATCGTGGTGAAACCGTGCCCCCTCCTTCGCGCTGCGGGATCTGTGCCATCGGAGGGGACCGAGTTCCCTGGCAAATACAGCGGAGGGTACTCGTCTATGACGAAACCGACTATCCCTCATCGTTTCTGGAGCCTCGCTGTCTGCGAAACCAAAGCTTCAGCATCGTGTCGTTTCCTACGCTGTGTGTGACACGCCCTGCACATCTTCAGTGCGTTTGGCCTGGCATGTGACATCCATTGAGCCAAACGATGGGCAGCGGCGGCTTACAGCGACCACATAGCTGAGCCATGGCCACCTCCGAGTTGGACTCAGCTGTTGAGTTCAAGCGGCGAGCTTTGCAGCTCGGGGTTTCGGCCACCAACGTGGATGCCTTGATAAGTGCTGGCTTCACAACGTTTGGGCAGTACGCTTTCAGTGTTCCGTATCAGCCCGGAAATAGCGATGAGACCCCTTTGATCGATCTCTTCACCACTGTCCTGAGTGGAACACCGGATGCGGGGCAGCTTTCGTGCCTTCGCCGCTTGTTCTGGGAATCTCATGGGCTAGCCATTCGTGATCTACGGCTCAGGCAGGAGCATGGGGCCGAGACAGTTCTCAAGAAGCTCCCCACGTCGGAGCGAGTTGCTCGGTCCGAGTCCCAGCGAGCCCGTCTATCAGGATTGACTTGGTCCCCGGAGACAGAGCCTTCGCATCAGTTAGTGGATCGCTTCGTGACCATGGTGGAAGAGCAGACAGTGACTTACATTCGACCTGAGCTTTGCACCAGTCGCGCCCAGGAGTCTTTGCAAATCAAGCAGGCCAAGACCTTCGCCCTGGGATCAGACGGCCAACTTCGGGTAGCAACAAAGGGGGACGACCTTGAATGCTCCACGGCTGGCGAGTGGAAACTTCGCATGGCCCTTCAGAGAAAGGCTCTTGCCATGGACCTTGCTGGCTTGGTGAGCTTCCAGGTTGCTGAGACTTGGCACACGTACCTCTACACCGTCCGCGAGCGCGAGGTCCCGAAGAGCATGAAGCAAGTCAGCCTTCAACAAATTCTTGATGCCGATAAGCGCCTTTGGGTCCTTCTTGCAGAAGAAGTTCGAGGGAAGATTGTATCCCGGCCGGGCGGCACGCCAACTTGTGATCCCATCATCGAGCGCCTCAGCTCCTCAAGCGATGTCCTCTCCTACCTCGTCCCTCAGCCCGAGATTCGAGTTCCTTCAGTTCCTCGGTGGGAACCTTACACCCCCAACAACGGAAAAGGGAAAGGCAAAGGGAAGGGGAAGGACAAAGGCAAGACGACGACCCCTTCGGACTCATCGGCGAACATCTCCATCCCAGACGGTGCTCACACGAAGACTGCGGATGGCAAGCCTCTTTGCTTCCTATACAGCCGCGGCAAGTGTTGGGCCAAGAAGAAGCCCGGACAACGGTGCGCCAAGGGATATCACCTTTGCTGGTTTTGCCTCAAGGAGCATGCCGGCTGCGATTGCCCGAACAAGGGCAGCTGACTCAAGGAATCCTCAGATGATCCTGTTAGATCTCGAAGTCCACCTCCTCGGGAAGGGAGCCAATCTTCTGCCACCGCCGAATCCTTTGCGGAGAGCCTTCTCAAGCTGGATCGGTCCGTGACTGCCGAGGATGTTGTAAAGCTTTTCGATTTCCTTCCTCAGGAGGTTTATAGTGGGTCTCGGGATCAAGGCAACAGCACCGGTGGGTCCTTTACCACTGGACTCTACTGCAGGGTCAAGGTTTCACTAAGACGTAATTCCCAGCTGTACCCGAATTCAACAGCGGTCCTTTGCAAGTTCGTTCGCCAGGTTCATGCCGATCACATTTTCACATCAATCATTCTATTTGACTCCGTTTCAACTGCCATGCACGTTGATGCTTTGAACGCTCCTTGCGATAACTTGGTAGTCGGTTTGACCGACTTTTCAGGAGGCGATCTTTGGGTCGAATGGCCCGCTACGGTTCCTCGGAATCCTCACCTCAGGTATGAAACTCGTGAGTTCGATTCAGGTTCGGCCCTCGGGGCCCTCCTTCCAGTGTCACAGCATCCAGCTCTGTTCTGTGCCAAGCGCTTGCGGCATGAGACCTGTCCTTTTAAGGGTCGTCGGGTTATTCTAGTTGCGTATAGCTTGCAGGCTTCCGATCAAGCCAGTCCCGAAGATCAGGGAGCCCTGATCGGCTTGGGCTTTCGCCTGCCTGGGCCTGGTGACTTGCAGAACCCTAACCCTAATCCCCCTAGGCTGCTGCATGGCACGGATGGCGCCCCTCGCGCTTCGGCCTCATTCGCTCAGGTGTTCTCAGGTGATGGGGCTTTGGCCTCAAGCTTCAACAGAATCGGATGGCAGACCATAGCGATCGATCAACATGTGGTTCCGGGGCGACACAAGCACCAGCCCCTTGTTTGTGAGTTGTCGAGTCCCACTGGCCAGGACTTTGCTTTGCATATTCTAGAGGACTTTGGGCCGACCTTTGTGTACATTCGGCCTCCCTGTCGCACTGCGAACAAAGCCCGTGCCAGGTCATTGCCGTCTTCACACCCAGCAGTTGACAAGTGCCCGCCTTTGAGGTCACATGACAAGCCCTGGGGTCTTGCAGACCTTAACCCTAGACAGTCGGCACAGGTCCAAGCAGAAAATCGCCTCTTTCGCTTCTGTGCCAAGGTTCTCGTGTGGGCCCTCGCTAAAGGGGCCTTCGTTTGCATTGAGAACCCTGATGGCTCCCTGTTTTGGAGCTGCCTTGAATCTCTTCCAGAGTTTCAGTCTTGTCAGGCCTCCCTGGAGGCTTTCTGCGGTGACATGTGCATGCTTGGAGGTTCTAGGCCAGCTTCGATCAGGTTCCTCACCAACATTTCTGCGCTTCGTTCACTTGTTCACATGTGCCCCGGAGTGGGCGACGGGCACAAGCATGCCCCCTTTGGGTTTTTGTGCAAAAACGAACAACACCCTTCGCAGTTTGTGCAACTTGTGATCCAGGCTTGTTGTCAGGAGATCTCTTTCACTCCACCTCCTGCCCTGGCTCGGCCAGGAGATGAGGTGCGACAAACACGTAAGTCTCGTCAGCTTATGCCTGAGTTTTCCAGCATCAAGTGGCTGCGTCGTGACGACTTGCCTAGTTGCCCTCATAAATGCCTCCGGCCGGAGCAGGGGGCCCATCGCGGGGCCTTCAGCATTTCTGAGGGGTCTTTTGAGGGTCTCTTGGGTTCGTCGGTTTCTTCTGGTCCTCTTCCTTCTGGGCCCTCTTCGGTGCCCCCTTCGGTTTCGACTTCGGAGGTTTCTGACAAGATCCCCATAGGCATTTATGCGACTCCCGAGGAGTTCGTGCAGCGAGCTCGTGCTCTTCAACACCCGATGGCGGGTCCCAGCGTTGTCACGGACTCCTTCAAGAGAGCCCTGTTCGCTAACCTCACTAAAACCCCTGCCGAGGTTGCAAGCTTGAGAGCCTCCTTCCTTGAGCATGTAACACATTTGACGGAGAAGCTTCGCCCCGATGAGGAGGCTCTACATCGCTCTTTCTCTCCTGAGCTTCAGAAGGTTCTTAAAGGAAAACGACTTCTCCTCTTTAAGACCTTGCTGGAAGAGTACCGGTACGACGATGTTGGGGTCTGGGAGATGCTTCGGGACGGCCCTTCCTTGACTGGCACTCAGGACCATCCTCCCTATGCCGATCGTAGTTTTCGCCCGGCAACAGTTAGCACCGAACAGCTGGAGCGTGAATCTTCCTGGAGGCGGAAATTTGTGAGCTTCAAAACTTCTTCACCCCAGGATGCTGCTACTCTGACTTCTCTTGGTGAAGGTGAGGTTTCGGCTGGATTCATTTCGGGACCATATCGAACAGCGGCCGAAGTTACTGAGGCTTTGGGAAGGCCAGACTGGATTGCAACTCCACGCTTTGTTTTGCTTCAGGGCTCCAAGGCCAAGCCCCGGGTTATCGACGATTGCAAATCTTCGGGTCTGAACTCATCTTTCTCCTCCACGGAGCGCCTTCGTCTGCAAGACCTCGACTATGTGGTGGCGATGATCAAGCTGGCTGGCAAGATGTCGGGTCGGCACAAAATTCGTATGGATCTTTCCACTGGTGATGTGCTCTGTGGTGATCGAGTGCTTCCCTCCGGCTCTGAGTGGCTTGGTCGATGTGTGGATCTAGCCAAAGCCTACAAGCAGATGGCTGTTCCTCGTTCCCAGCGCCACTTGGTGGTGCTCTGCCACCACGATGAACAAGGACTGCCTCTGTACTACATCTCGGAGTCCCTCCCCTTCGGGGCTGAGGGGTCGGTGTATGGATTCGTGCGCATGAGCCGAGCACTTTCATTTCTTATGAATGAGGCCATCCTTGTGCCGAGCTCGGTGTACTTCGACGATTTCCCAGCGATATCTCCCAAGGCTTCGTCAGCATCGGCTACCGCTGCCATTAAATTCTTGCTGTCCGCCCTCGGTTGGAGGTTCTCTACAGATCCAGATAAGGCGCGAGATTTCGATTCCACTTTCGATGTGTTGGGCTGCACCCTTGACTTGTCGGGCCTGGCCGGACCTTTCGGCTTCTTGGAGGTCCGCAACAAGCCTCGGCGGATCGAGCACATCACCGAGCTGCTGGACGAG